TGGGGCCTGAACTCTGGGCCTGGGTGCTGTCCCTCAGCTCTTCACTCAAGGCTAGCGCTCTACCACTTGAGCCACAGCGCCACTTCTGGCTTTTTTTCTTTTTGCTTATGTGGTGCTGAGGAATCGAACCCAGGGCCTCAGGCATGCGAGGCCAGCACTCTACCACTGAGCCACCTCCCCAGCCCCTGACCATAATTTTTGTTTGGACTTCTTTTTTCACTGCCAGGTCTGGGCTTGAGCTCAGGGCCTGGGCGCGCCTGTCCCTTAGCTTTTGCTCAAGGCTAGCGCTCTACAATTGAGCCGCAGCGCCACTTCTGGCTTTTTCTGTGTATGTGGAACTGAGGAATTGAATCCAGGGCTTCATGCATGTTAGGCAAGCACTCTACCACTGAGCCACCTTCCCAGCCCTGTGGGTTTTTTTTTCTCCCTTCTTTTTGGAACTGGGAATGGAACCCAGGTTGTTGTACTTGCTAGGCAAGTGCTTTGCCACTGAGCTATGTGTCCCAGCCCCAAACCATGGGTTTGAAAGGAAAAATAGTACCACCACTCAAACAGTATTGTTGACTTTTTTTTGTTGGTTGTGGGGCTTGAACTCTGGGCCTAGGCACTGTCCCTGCGCTCTTCAGCTCAAGGTGAGCGCTCTACCTCGAGCCGCAGCGCCACTTCTGGTTTACTAGTGGTTTATTGGAGATAAGAGTCTCAGGAACTTTCCTGCCTGGGCTGGCTTTGAACTGTGATCCTCAGATCTCAGCTTCCTGAGTAGCTAGTATGACAGGAGTGAGCCACTGGCGCCCGGCAACATTTTTGCTTTTTCAGTTTAAAAAAAATTAAGTTACTTGAATAGTTCTGTGTCTTTTTTTTGTCTTAAAAGGAAATTTTTTTCCCCCCACTGGGATGAAGCCCAAGGCTTTGAGCATGTCAGTCAGATTAACTGTGTTATATTCTTAACCCAGTATTAAGTATCTTCATGTTCTTCTCTATTGTAGAAGGCTAAAGTGTGAACAGAGTTATGTATTTCATCCTTCCCTCACGACCAAGTATTAGAAATCTTTTTGTTTTCATTTTTTTTTGTAAGTCTGGGGCCACGACTAAAAAAGAAAGCCTTATTCTACCTAGTAATTTGATGTAAGTTCTTCCATCTTTAAGTTCTTTTTTTGCATAGTCACTTGTAGGATTGTTTTTACCTCTACTAAACTTAGTTCACAAGGGCATTTGCAAGGATTAATTATTTACTATATAGAGGATTCTTGTCTACTTAGCATTCTTTTTTTTTTTTTTTTTTTGGTTGGTCATGGGGCCTGAACTCTGGGCCTGGGCGCTGTCCCTCAGCTCTTCAGCTCAAGGCTAGCACTCTACCATTTGAGCCACAGCGCCACTTCCGGCTTTTTTCTTTTTGCGTATGTGGTGCTGAGGGATCGAACCCAGGGCCTCAGGCATGCAAGGCGAGCACTCTACCACTGAGCCACCTTCCCAGCCCCTACTTAGCATTCTTGATTGAGTTAGATGTGACTATTAGAAATTTTAAAGCCATAGGAATAAAGTTAGACGAAGGGATAATGAAGATGTTGCAGTCTTGTGCCTCTGAGGCCAACTCCATGGAGGTGCCTGCAGCTTCTTGAAGCCGTGTCCACTTCCTTGCAGACCATCCTGCCTGCTGCTGCCCAGGACGTTTATTACCGGGATGAGATTGGCAATGTTTCCACCAGCCACCTTCTCATTTTGGACGACTCTGTGGAGATGGAGATCCGGCCTCGATTCCCTCTCTTTGGCGGGTGGAAGACACATTACATGGTTGGCTACAACCTCCCAAGCTATGAGTATCTCTATAATTTGGGTGAGTCTGTATGCAGTGAGAGAATAGTACAGCGGAGGCTTTCTGTCTTTCATTCCCCTCCCTCCCTTGTGGCTTCCTCTTTCCCAGCACACCAGCCCTTCAGTGTCAGTAGTATTCTCTTGTATTCTTGGGAATGCTAATAGGTCAGGAGCCAACTCTTACTGTTGTAAAAGTCATGCATCTGTACACTAATGGGTTCACACACTAGTGGAAATTCTCTACTATCAGAGAAAGCTGGTTAAATTTTTAAATAGTTTCTTTTTTTGTCAGTCGGGCTTGAACTCTGGGCTTGGGTGCTGTCCCTCAGCTCTTCAGTGCAAGTCAAGCACTCTGCTGCTTGAGCCACATCATGTTTCAGGTTTTCTGAGTGGTTTATTGGCCATAAGAGTCTCATGGTCTTTCCTGCCTGGGCTGGCTTTGAACTGTGATCCTCAGATCTCAGCCTCCTGAGTGGCTAAGATTACAGGTGTGAGCCATACAACAACCTGGAGATATTAGTCTTATGGACGGAAGTGGCGCTGTGGCTCAAGTGGTAGAGTGTTCACCTTGAGCTGAAGAGCTGAGGGACAGCACCCAGGCCCAGAGTTCAAGCCCCACAACCACCACCATGAACAACAAAAAAGACAGTGTTTTGCTGGGCCCCGGTGGCTCATGCCTATAATCCTAGCTACTTAAGAAGCCGAGATCTGAGGATCATAGTTCAAAGCCAGCCTGGGCAAGAAAGTGGCTCAAGTGATAGAGCACTTGTCTTGAGCTGAAGAGCTGAGGGACAGCACCCAGGCCCAGAGTAAAAGCCCTATGACTGACTGAAAATAAATAAGCCAGGCACTGGTGGCTCACGCCTGTAATCCTAGCTACTCAGGAGGCTGAGATCTGAGGCAAGAGGTTCAAAGCCAGCCCGGGCAGGAAAGTCCATGAGACTCTTACCTCCAATAAAAACCAGTAGTAAACTGGAAGTGGCACTGTGGTTCAAGCAGTAGAGCACTAGCCTTGAGCTGAAAAGCTGAGGGACAGCACCCAGGCCTAGACTTCAAGCCCCACTACCTACAAAAAAAAGTCTTATGGACTTTCCTGCCTGGGCTGGCTTTGAACCCTGATCCTCAGATCTCCGCCTCCTGAGTAGCTAGGATTATAGGTGTAAGCCATTGGTGCCTGGCTCAGTCTCTTCTTTCTTGATGTCTTGTGGAAAGACATTTCTGATTCAATTGTATAATTTCGGCTACAGATCTTTTTTTGTGGGGGGGAGCCGTGCAATGGTGGGGCCTGAACTCTGGGCCTGGGTGCTGTCTCAGCTCTTCAGCTCAAGGCTAGCGCTGTACCACTTGAGCCGTAGCGCCACTTGCGGCTTTTTTCTTTTTGCCTATGTGGTGCTGAGGAATTGAACCCAGGGCCTCATGCATGCAAGGCAAGCGCTCTACCACTGAACCACCTTCCCAGACCCAGATCTTAAATTTAGTTTTCAAGAAACGATAGTTTCTTCTAGTGGATAATGGTATTTTAAGACCATCATCTATGAGACTGGGTCTGGTAGTAACTACTCAGAAGGTTGAGGTGAGAATGTGATTAACCTGGAAAAAGCTGGCTACATAACATCCCAGCTCATAGGAAGTATAAGTGGGGTCACGGTCAGTGCTGTCTTGGAGACATGGTCAGAAAAATGGAAAGTAACAAAGGCAAAAAGGTCTTAGAATATGGCTTAAGTAGTAGAGCACATGCCTAAGGAGCACAGGCCTTGTGTTTTTGTTGTTGTTGTTGTTTGTTTGTGTGGGTCTTGAACTCTGGGCCTGGGCGCTGTCCCTCAGCTCTTCAGCTCAAGAGTAGCACTCTACCACTTGAGCCACAGCACCACTTCCAGTTTTTTTCTAGTAGTTTATTGGATGTAAGTAGTCTCACAGACTTCCTTGCTCGGGCTGGCTTTGAGCTGTGAGCTTAGGATTACAGGCATGAGTTACCAGCACTCGGCTAGGCCTTGTGTTCTTTAAACCCCAGCTCTGTCTCACACACACACACACGCGCGCGCGCGCACACACACACACACACACATGCCACACATGCATACACGCACACACACGAGAACAGTAATAGGAGAATTGGGAATTATTGCTTCGAGGCTGGCCAGTTTCTGTGCTGGTTTATTTCATGTATGAAAGATGTGTGTATTACAGTTGACATTTTGTTGGTATGTTACATTTAATTCTGTGTTGGAAATCTGGATCTGGAGGGTATCAGATGGCAGAATTTAACATTTCAGTCAAGTCATTTGGTTTACCACACAACTCAACAGATAAAAAACAATCCTCCTTTCCCCATCTTACCTGCTTGGGCTGTGGGAGCATTGTTGGAGCAAATAGGTGTTATGCAGCATCTTTCCCTTTAATTCTGTTACAGTTCTCCAGTTCACAGAATCCTGTCTGTGTGTGTGTGTGTGTGTGCGCGCGCGCGCACATGCATACCAATACTAGGGAGTGAACTCAATACCTGAGTGCTATTTTTTCACTGTTAGCCTTTTGCTAGTTAATTGGAAATAAGGGTGTCAGACTTTCCTGCCCAGGTTGGCTTTGAGCCACAATCCTGATCCTCGTGTCTCAGCCTCCTGAGAAGCAAGGATATGGGTGTGCGCCATCGCCTGGATCCAGTCGCTGACCCATTCTCTGTTCTCATGGCTGCCTGTATCTGCCTGACTCCTCAGGTGACCAGTATGCACTGAAGATGAGGTTTGTGGACCATGTGTTTGACGAGCAAGTAATAGATTCTCTGACCGTGAAGATCATTTTGCCTGAGGGGGCCAAGTGAGTATGCCGGTCCTTTCTCGTGTCCCTGTGTCTCCGCTGGTCCTCAAGTACTTGCATTCCATGGGTCTGAGTAGATACTTAACAAAAGCTTTGACTGAAGCTTGAAAAGCTAAGCTCAAAGGAAGGCATGAGGTTTATTTATAAAACTTTTGGGGGGGGGTAAGGGGAGGATGTGCAGTGGGGGGGAGGGAGATGGGATGGTAAGGAGAAACACAGGAGGAGGAGGCAATAATGCTTGATGAGAAATGTACTCATTGGGCTGGGAAGGTGGCTCAGTGGTAGAGCGCTTGCCTTGCATGCATGAGGCCCTGGGTTCGATTCCTCAGCACCACATAAGCAAAAAAAAAAATGTACTCATTACCTTGCTCATGTAATTGTAACCCTTCTGTACGGTATTTCCACAATAAAAAACTTATTAATTAAAAACTTGTAAAAAGAGTTCTGTCCAGCAGAAGGAAGTTCTTGAGGCTAGGATAGCCAGGTGTGCCTTTTGCTGTGTGGACAGAGCAGCGACTGGAGCTCCACTTCATCTTGGGCTCAGCAGGGGCCTCCCTTGTCTCCAGCGGGCACCTAGGCAGACGAGAGCCGCAGGTGTGCTCTTAGGAGCCTGTCCCTCATGTGAGGAGTGTTGGTGTTCCTGAGGCTCTGTGTAGGTGGGCCCTGGGCTGGGGCTGGGCGCGTTCTCCTCAGGGCTGGAGGGCAAGGGTGTTGAGTGGAGCATGAGCTTCGCTGTCCGTGGCCCCAGCTCTGAGGCCGTGCTTCTGTGGGCGTGTTGTGTCTGAGGCCACGGGGTGTCCTTCCTTTCTGTCTCCAGGAACATCCAAGTGGACAGCCCCTACGAGATCAGCCGGGCCCCGGACGAGCTGCACTACACCTACCTCGACACCTTTGGCCGCCCCGTGATCGTGGCCTACAAGAAGAACCTGGTGGAACAGCACATTCAGGACATTGTGGTGCGTGGCTGTGCCGCTCTGCCAAAAGGCAGTGCGTCTGCAGCTGCCGACTGACCCATCTCTGCCTTTAGGCTGCCACTGGGTCAGGGTGAAGAGTGAGCCAGGCTGGGGGCGGGTCTGTGCACCTAGGTCCTGGTGTCCCTGTGGCCCTGACTCTGCCTGTCTCCCCGTCTCTCCCAGATCCACTACACCTTCAACAAGGTGCTGATGCTTCAGGAGCCCCTGCTGGTGGTCGCTGCCTTCTACATCCTGTTCTTCACCGTCATTGTCTATGTGCGCCTGGACTTCTCCATTACCAAGGTGACCTTCACAGCCGAGAGCAGCCCCCTTCTGTTGTCAGACACTCCCCTCTCTGCGAACGTTTACCGCGCAGATACTTTGTATGTATGGAGTTGGGGGTAAAGCCAGGGCCTGGTGTTTGGTCTCAGCCTTCCTAGTTCTCTCTTGATGCTGTGGTTTCCAGTGCACTGGGTGAAGTCCCTGTCTGGTTTCAGTTCTGGAGACCCGCGTGGCAGCGTGGGTGTGGATGGGTTGGTGGTGGCTACGCAGCCCCCTGCTGCTTGGTAGGTGGGGTGAGCACTTCCTTGGCCGCCTTGCCAGCCCCCTCTACTGACAGATACCTGTAGACCTCTTGGGCTGCACATGCGACATAGTATTTTTTTTTTTAATTTCTAGAATAAGCAGATGCCTTTTTATTTCTTTAAACTTTTTTTTTTCTTTAAATACACATACTGGAAGTCATCTGTAACAGTTTCCTTACTTTTTTGGGGGTGGCATCCTGGGGTTTGAACTCAAGGCCTGGGCCTTGTCTTTTTCACTCATAGCTGATGCTCTGCCGTTTGAGCCATAGCTCAACTTTTGGCTTTTGGGTGATTAGTTGGAGATAAGAGTCTTACGGACTTTCCTACCTAGGCTAGCTTTGAACCACCATCCTCAGGTCTTAGCTTCTTAACAGCTGTTACACACAGCCACAGATGCTTGGTTTGTACTTTTTTTTTTTGGTGCCAGTCCTGGGGCTTGAACTCAGGGCCTGGGCACTGTCCCTGAGCTTCAGGCCACTTCTGGCCTTTTCTGCTTATGTGGTACTGAGGAATCGAACCCAGGGCTTCATCTTGCTAGGCAAGCACACTACCACTGAGCCACCTTCCCAGCTTCCACTCGAAGGCTTTAAGAAGGAACGTGTAACAGGAAGCCTCCTTCAAGTCTTCAGCTAGTGCTGAAGCCTCTTCTCAGCACTTTCCATATCTGTTCTCAGTGTGCGCTCATGTTACTGTCCTGGCTCAGCTTGGTGAGCCCTGTGGGCTGCTTCATCTGTTTGTCCCCTGTCATGCCCATTGGGCGTCATCCTGATTGTCAGCATGGGTTTGATAGTTATACAATGGGGGCTTCCGGGTGTCCTGGGAGGCGTTCTGCAGTGGGCTCAAATTTGAGCACCGTCAGACATGGCACCCCTTCCCTCCTCTAGGATCCAGCTGCGGAGGCCAGGATGAAGGTGGCTTGCATCACAGAGCAGGTTTTGACCCTGGTCAACAAGAGGATAGGCCTCTATCGTCACTTTGACGAGACCATCAATAGGTACAAACAGTCTCGGGATGTCTCCACCCTCAACAGTGGCAAGAAGAGCCTAGAGACTGAGCACAAGGCTGTGACCAGCGAGATCGCAGTCCTGCAGTCCAGACTGAAGACAGAGGGCTCTGACCTGTGTGACAGGGTGAGTGTTTGCACGGTGGCCTCTTCTCAGTCCGGGTGAGCCTGCTCAGGCATGGTTTGTGAGGCACTGCGCCGGGGCACAGGAAGTTCCAGGTCCTGGTGGGGGGCTGGGCTTCCTCTGGGCTCCAGTCTGCCTGGGCCTCTATGGAGTGTGGGTGCCCTTGCCTGCCGTCCTGTTACTTGGGAGGATTTAGAGTTCAAGACCAGACTTAGCTAAAGGGTAAAAACGACATCGGAAAAAGAACTCAAGCCGGGCGCCGGTGGCTCACGCCTGTAATCCTAGCTACACAGGAGGCTGAGATCTGAGGATCGCGGTTCAAAGCCAGCCAAGGCAGGAAAGTCCATGAGACTCTTATCTCCAATAAACTACTCAGAAGATGTCAGAAGTGGTGCTGTGGCTCAAGTGATAGAGCACTCACTGTGAGCAAAAGAAATTCAGGAATAGCACCCAGGCCCAATGTTCAAGCCCTAGCACTGGCAAAAAAAACAAATGCAGGTTCTGCTTCCAACTCTGATTTTGGGGATGTTACTTGACCTCTGGGTCAAGCTACAGGGAAGTAGCTCTGTGAGTAAGTGCCTTGCACACGGACTGGCATGTGGTGCCAGTGTCCTCACCTCCAGCCCCGCTCAGAGCTGTCCCTCACAGTCCCTGACCGCGTCCTATTCCTCTTTGGGCATTAGTGTATGTAAAGCCTCCACATGAGGACCGTGCCTGGGTGTGTGTGAGCTGGGCCTGGGCTGCGCACTGTGCTCACTCCAGTCCTCTGCCACATGCACTGTTGGTAATGGGATGAGTTCCCCACACCAGCCATTGGTCTACTGCCTAACTGAATCCCTGGATTAGCAGGCAGAGCAGAGGTGCTCACCCTCACCCGGGTACCAGGGCATCATGCCAGGTGCTTCCACGGTGCTTGCCCTTAGTCCTCAGTTTTCTGCAGATGAGGGCAGGGGTGGCACGTGGCTGGCCGTGAGGTCAGCGCTCAGAGTCCCTCCCGGCCGGCCGGCCGGCCCCTCTGTCCTTGGCTGCTGTTGTGACTGGCGAGTCGGCGGGAGGCCTGTTCTCAGTGGCCCCACTCTCTTGGCCAGGTGAGTGAAATGCAGAAGCTGGACGTGCAGGTCAAGGAGCTGGTGCTGAAGTCGGCGGTGGAGGCCGAGCGTCTGGTGGCTGGCAAGCTCAAGAAAGACACCTACATCGAGAACGAGAGGCTCATCTCAGGGAAGCGCCAGGAGCTGGTCACCAAGATCGACCACATCCTCGATGCGCTGTAGCCCTGTGTCCAGGGCCCTGTGCCTGCACGCGAGAGCAGAGGGTAGGTAGGTGGAGGGGGGCGGCGCCGCAGCCCAGAGGCCGGGCCCTGCCGGCCTTCCTGGTTGTGAGCTTAGAGAACTCCACCACCAAACACCACCGTGTTTTGAACAAAGGCATTTCAGCAGTCCATGTTTTCCCCCTTCTTCATCTTGCAGTCCTTCTAACTTTTGATGTTTGGTTATTTTGTGAGTGTATACATTTTGTTTTATTTTCAAAGCACGTGTGACCAAATGAAAATAAATGCTTTCTTAGTACTTTCCATCCACTGAGTGGTGGATTGTTCCTCAGCGCAAGTTTAGCAGTTAATACCGGAACGCAGATCCATCCCAACATGGGTCTTCCAGGCGGGCATCAGAGCATGCTTGGGAGAGACGCAGACCAGTCTGCCGGAGCTCAGACTCCAGTGGCACGAGGCTTGGCCTGGTGACTGTTTCAGAGCCGGGTTGGAATGGAGAGACTGGCACACACCACGGGAGGGCACTGCACCTCCCGCCCAGGCAAGGCCGCTCGTGTCCCCGGCAGAGGAGGCACGGTGGGAGGAGAGCTGGGCGGCCGACAGGGCCTGGGTGCGCCTACCTTTCCCAGCCCCTCCCATGGGGAAGCCTGGGCCGGCCTTCCCCACTTCCGGAGGGGGTCCTGGGGTTCCCACGGCTCTGGGCTGTGCAGTCCCGCTGTGGCCTCACACACCGGCTGGGCACAGGGCGCTGCCTGTCTTGGTAGAGCCTGCTCTGGGGCCACAGCTTGGTTGCGAAGGCATGTAGGCCCCTGCGTGCTGCTCAGGCCTACGCCTGGACCTGCAGGCCCCAGCCTCCTGCAGGCCCCAGCCTCCTGCCCTCCTGGGCCCCAGCCATTGCCCCAGGAGCTTCCCTGTGCCCTGGCGGGCCCTGTGGAAGCCAGGCACCCTCCCTGTGGGTGCAGACGCCTGTCCCTGTGGCACGGCCACTGTGGCCCCCACTTGGTAAGGTGTGACCCGCAGTAGCCCGGGCCTGGCCTTTGCATGTCTCCAAGCCTTGGGGGGCAAGAGGGCAGGTGGGGCTGGACTTGGGAAGCTGCTGGCAGCCCAGCCTGCCTCAGAGGGGAGCACAGGGCCGAAGAGGGCCTGGGGTCCTTTCCCCCCACAGGGCTGAAGAGGGCCTGGGGTCCTTTCCCCCCACAGGGCCGAAGAGGGCCTGGGGTCACTTTCCCCCCACAGGGCTGAAGAGGGCCTGGAGTCCTTTCCTCCCACAGGGCCGAAGAGGGCCTGGGGTCACTTCCCCCCACAGGGCTGAAGAGGGCCTGGGGTCCTTTCCCCCCACAGGGCTGAAGAGGGCCTGGGGTCACTTTCCTCTCCATTTGTCTTGGAGGCTGACATGGGAGAGAAACCCCAAGGACCGACCACCTCACAGTTTCACCACAAGTATCCTGACCGGGGTGTCTGGTGCCGCGCTGATAGTGCAGGCCTGGCCGCAGCCCCGCCGGAAACCCACTCCCAGCAGTTGGGGGCTGCAGGTTGAGACAGGAAATGCCAGGGTGCACCCCAGGGCTCACGGCTTCCAGAAAGGCTGCTGCCATTTTAAAGCTGGGCCAGGTCCTGGGCTGGCTGTGAGGTCTGGCCACTGCCAGTCAGGAAGACCAGATTTGGGGAGTGGAGAAGCCCAGGGAGCTCAGACCAATCCAGTTGGCCAGGCCTTGTAGGCTGATGCTGATCTGCGGGTGCCGCCCGCCTGTCTGTCCGCTCTGGTCCCTCGGCTGGTCTGGCAGGCCTCCCCGAGGCCCCACTGGACAGGGTCACGTGATGCTGCAGTGGAACAGAACCCCGTTCCTCCAGCACATCTTCACGTGGAGTTAGGCGCTGTTTTAGGCTCAGGGATGTCAATGAGCAGGAGAGAGCACTAGAGAAGCTCTGCCTGCAGCGAGGGGCCGTCGGGGACGGTGCGACCTCTGGTCTGAGGGCCGTGGTGGGATGGCTGCGTGGCTCCAGTGCTGCGTTCCTTCCAGAGTCCTCGGCCTCGTTTTTCTGCATCAAGTCCAGGTTCATGGCCTGTCCCCAGTTGCCTTGGCTTCCAGCCTCCTCTTCCCAGGCCTGGGTCCTGGAGCTGAGCTGGTAGGACCCCAGGCTGTGGCTGGGGCCACCCACCGGGGCCGCCTCTTCTGTGAGCATGAGGTGTGCACTGAGGCGCTCTGACTCGACGCTGGCTTTTGGAGAGCAGGCCCTTTGCCTCTGAGGTTAGGCAGCATGCCCACCGCACCAACACTGTACCCAGGGGGAGCCAGCCGCAGGAGGCAGCCTTGAACATGGCCAGGCTCGTGGGGCGGTGGCAGCCAGCCCCGGCGGTGTCACAGACTGAGACCCAGGCACTTGGCCCTCTTCTGTCAGCCTCAAGTCTTGCTGTTGTGACGTGTCTGTGAGCCTTTGAGCACTGACCAAGTGATTCCAGGGGAAGAAGACATGCTGGCATTTCTCGGGGCTCTTCCTGGATGGTGTCCCTGGGGCAGGGCGGGCCTTCCCTGTCTGTGTCCTGCATTGGCCAGGTGTGCACACAGCACGGGGCACAGCTATTCCAGGATGGTTGTGCACCCTTGCTGTGTGCACACAGGTGAGCATATCTGAACACAACAGATGGGAAGGTTGCAGCATGCAGATGCCTTGAACTCAGAGCCTGTGCTGTCTGAGCTCCAATATGCTCAAGGTTAGAGCTCTATTACTTGAGCTACAGCGCCACTTCTGGCTTTTTTCTTTTTGCTTATGTGGTGCTGAGGAATCGAACCCAGGGCCTCATGCATGCAAGGCAAGCACTCTACCACTGAGCCAAGATGCTTATTGGAAATGGGTCTGTTCTCCTAGAGATAGAAAGGGAGTGGGCAGAGTCCCTGCCAGAGGTGCTGGTAGGTGATAGTGATCAGGGCTTGTGCAGTGTGCTCCGTGGGGAGCCTGCCAGCCTGAAGCGTGCAGCAGACCTGTGCTGTGCATCCTGCTCTTCTGCATTTCTCCTCCCGCAGGCTCCTACACACACACACACACGCACAGACCCCAGAGCAGGGCAGGGGCTGCTCGGGTCTCCGGTGTCCATCTGCTTCCATGGTTCCACATCTCAGTGACAGCTCCTGCCCTGGCCCAGACCTCCCTGGAGTGAAGAGGGTGAACGCTGGACAGACAGGGGTGTGGCCTCTCTCCCATTCCCCCCCTCCCCCCCTCCCAGGAGCCCCCCCTCCATCTGGGGCAAGAGTGGCCGTGGTTCCTGCAGCCAAGGAAGCAGTGTTGGGGGGGCTGCGGGGGGGGCCTGTGCCTGACCCTGTGTGGGCCGGATCGTGTCTGTCCGTGTGCACCGGTGTGTGGCACTGGGGCGTTGGGAAACTGAAGCCCTGATCCTGCCTAGGGGTGACTTGGAGGTAAATCTTCCATCCAGCTACAGAACAAATAATCCCAGTGTTCTAGAAAGATGTGTGCTAAGACTCATCAGTGAATGTGGGGTGATCCTAGATCGGAGGGACGCGGTCCCCAGGCACAGCCCATGACCACACCCCGGCCAGGCCCACGGGGACAGCGGCCTGCCCAAGGGCCTTTGCTTGGTGGTCTCAGTTGTTCTAACGGTGCCTGAGGCTGAGTGTCTGGTAAGTCATTTTCTTGGCTCGGGAGTCTGGTGGCTGGAAGCCCACCGGAAGCTACATGGCTCTGGCTCCCGGCCAACGTTCTTGGCCGCGTTTCCACATGACAGAGAAGCAGAAGTGGTTTTATTTTCTAACAACTTGGTCCTGTGAGACCAGCGTTACCCATGCACCAGGCGAAGCCAGAGACAAAACTGCCTCCCGGGCCGGTCTCAGTGCAGGCAGGGGGCGCCCCTGCCACACGGCTCGGCTCCGCAGCAGGGCTGGCGGCTGGACGCTGGAGCCGGCGGTCTGGGGGTGCCTGAACCACCCGGCTGCACATTCCTGCACGGTTTCTACTTTGGTCCTCCTGCTCCCTGGGGTGCTCTGCCCTGTCCTGGCTGCCCCTGCTGCCCTCCAACCACGGCCCCCATGGGGAGAGTGCTCAGCCCTGTGCCCCCAGGTGACCTGCCCCCAGGTGACATGTGTCCCCAGGTGATCTGCCCCCAGGTGACACGTGTCCCCAGGTGACCTGCCCCCAGGTGACCTGCCCCCAGGTGACACGTGTCCCCAGGTGACCTGCCCCCAGGTGACCTGCCGACAGGTGACCTGCCCCCAGGTGACACGTGTCCCCAGGTGACCTGCCCCCAGGTGACACGTGTCCCCAGGTGATCTGCCCCCAGGTGACACGTGTCCCCAGGTGACCTGCCCCCAGGTGACACGTGTCCCCAGGTGACCTGCCCCCAGGTGACACGTGCCCACACAGGTGATGTGTGACCTCACAGGTGACGTGACCTCACAGGCGACGTGACCTCACAGGTGATGTGACCTCACAGGTGATGTGACCGCAGGTGACATGGATTGTATGTGTTGTTTAGCTCTGGAGTAGGACTTTGCTCAGTTGGTCAGTATGGGTTTCAGTCAGTAACAGCATGGCCAGCTCGGGAGCCGACAGGCACACGGTCCCAGGTCTGCAGGGCTCTGTGTGCCAGGTCCTGTCTGGCCAGCCGCCTTCCTCAGATGTAGGCACTGCCGACCAGCGCCTCTCCACCTCACGCAGCGCCGTGTCCACGCTCCACGCTGCCCCCCGAGCCACGGTCGCCTCTCCACCTCACGCAGCACTGTGTCCACGCTCCACGCTGCCCCCAGAGCCACGGCCGCCTCTCCACCTCACGCAGCACTGTGTCCATGCTCCACGCTGCCCCCAGAGCCACGGCCACCTCTCCACCTCACGCAGCGCCGTGTCCACGCTCCATGCTGCCCCCAGAGTCACGGCCGCCTCTCCACCTCACGCAGCGCCGTGTCCACACTCCACGCTGCCCCCAGAGCCACGGCCGCCTCTCCACCTCACGCAGCGCCGTGTCCACGCTCCACGCTGCCCCCGAGCCACGGCCGCCTCTCCACCTCACGCAGCGCCGTGTCCACGCT